GCCAGAACCCCCAAGCTCTTCCTCCAGCTCCTCCCCACCCTCTAGCTTGCACAAGTTGGCAGGGGGCCCGCCGGCCTCTTCGACGCCGCCCTCCTTCTCCTCCTTGAAGAAGGGCTGGGCCGGCCCGATGGTGGCAGGCACTGTGCCACCTGTGGCCCCGGCCCCGTCCTCGACGCGCACTGAGTAGGGGTCAGGGCCCTCGCGGGCGTAGATCTTGGGCAGGCCTGGGGCGTCGGCTTCCTGCTTGATGTCGCAGTAGTAGGGTGGAGCAGCCGGGGTGCAGCTGGCGGCTGGCTGGGCCAGGGCCACGGCGCCAGGGCCTGGGGGGCCAAGAGAGCGGGCGTCCAGCAGCTCCTGGCAGGATGCGGCGATGTCGGCCATCTGCAGCAGCGAGGCGGCGCTGAGCACCTCGTGGACGTTGGCCGCGTTGACCAGCAGCTTGGACGTGTAGATGAAGTTGAGGATCTGCTGCAGGCCACCGGGCGCCAGCGCCTCCAGGGACAGCTCCACGCGCTGCAGCTGCTTGTTCTGGGTGAAGAGCGAATGGAAGAACTGGCTGTAGGCGGCCAGCACGCCCTTGTGCGCTGGGAAGACGCTGCGCTGGGGCACCAGCACCAGGTCCACGTCGCACAGGTCGGGCTGGAAGAGGCGCTGCTCGTTCAGGCGGCCCATCAAGCAGGCGAAGTGCAGCGCCACGTCCTCCACCAGCGAGAATTCAGCCGCCGGTGAGTCCGTCGTCTTCTCAACCAGCAACTGCAGGGCAGAGGGCACAGGTCAGATGGTCAAGGCCATCTGGGAGGTGGCCCACCCATCACTCCTGGCTCCACATTACAGAGAAGGAGCTGAAACCCAAGCAAGAACAAGGGGAAACTGGGATTCAAGCCCAAATCCACTGTCCCTCAGAGCTCAAACTCTGGTTGTGACTGTAGATCAACTCCTGGGTCAGTCGGTTAACTTTTCTGGGATCCTGCTCTTCTACTGTGAAACGGGAGAAGTCATCCCGGGAAGGGAAGGGGAAGAGGGAGAAAAAGGAAGGAAAAGGGACGAGGGTTACCAACCATCTAGGTGGGCCAGGAACCTAGGGGTTTCCCAGGACAAGGGACTTTCAGTGCTAAAAACCAGGGGCTACCTCAGCAAATGGGGACTGGGTGGTCCTCCCAGAAGCATCCTCAGAAGCATCCCTTCAGTATTTCCCGGAATCTCTCCCCAGCACTCACTCAAACACAAATAAAACCAAGCCTGCCTGACCCCAGACACCTCAAGAACAGAAGTCAGGCTCACTGGCTCACGGCTCGGCCTCTGGCCATTGCATCCCTGGGGCAGCACCTGAGGGAACCCCCCCCCCCACCTCACCCGCAGCAGGCCCCTGAGGCCTTGCAGAGGCAGAAACTTTTGTGAAGAAATCCAGGCTCAAGGCCTGTAACTTCTCCCCACCTCAGCCTGGCTGCCCTGCTGGAAGAGGCTGGTGAGATCCAGCCAGCCCCTCTTTCCTCAGCCAGAGTTTGGGCCAGGCTGCTGCCTGCGGCTTCAGGCCTGGCAGCCAGCAGCTCCCCCTCACATGAAAGTTCTTTAGGGGTAAAAGGACACAGCTGTGCTACCTGTCCATCATGCCTGGAGGCACGAGACCCCCCAAGGCCTGTCCCAAATCCTTTTCCCTCCAGACCCTCAGACCCCAGGTCAGGTGTGGTCCAGGCTGGGAGGCTCCAAGATGGCCTCATCTTGGAGGCCACACCACTGAAAGCCTCTGGAGCCTCAAGGAGGCCCTTGAATCTGATGAGTCAGATTATTAGACCCCTGGGCCACATCCAGTATCTGTGAATTGCCCAGAATAAGTGCTGGCTTAATTATTCCTGGCCCCACCACAGCAACTTCCCCCAAAGGTGGGCAGCACAGACAGGCAGGCTGCCCAGTGCCTTGCACGGGTCGAGTGCACAGCAGATGTTCAATTAATATCTGTCGACTACCTGCCTGGCTGGACCAGCCCCGCCGGTTCCAGGTTCTGGCCCTCGTTAGATCCTGTCCAGCCGAGTCAGAGCCTCCTACGTTTGAGGGTACCTCCTTGCCCCACTGCAAAGCCATCAACTCCCCTACCCCAAGCACCTCCCTGGAAGCCCTAGGATAAAACTCCAGTCCCATCCATCCACAGCCCACCCCTCCCCTTCATGCCAGTCCTTCCAGACTGGGCAGGGGGTATGGGGGTGGTATCTGTGTTCAACCTCTCAGTCCCCTGAATGAGGATCTGCCCTGGGCCTTGGGATGAGCCCACCAGAGGCAACCTGCTTCCACACCTGATCTGGGCCCTACCCTCCACACCCAGCAGCTCAGGGCAACACCCAACCCCATGCCCTCTTTCTCTCTCACCACCATCTTCCTTGAGTTCTCCCCACAGGCCTCCTTCGCTTCAACCAAGAAGTCATTCATCTGCTCCTCTGTCTCAGAGCTGTTGGCTCGTCCAGGCCTAGCCAATCTAACAGGGATTAGATGCCAAGCCCCTCCCATCTCCATCCTCTGACTCATTTGGAGACATTCTCTGGGACCAAACCCTATTATACAGATGGAGAAACTGAGGCTCAGAGTGGGAGGGTCCCACAGTGAGCAGTAGCAGAGCTCCCAGATTTTTAGCTCTGCTAAGAACACCCCATCTGTGCCTCAACTACACACCGTTCCACACGGAAAGATTCCTTGGCCTTTAATGGCTTAAAAAGCAGGAACAGGCATCTGGGGAGGATCAGCTCTGCTTCCCCAAAACTACTGCCACCTGCAAGTCAGTGAGGGGTCAGGGTGCAATCTGAGTTGTAACCTAGGCTCCTCAGGGCCTCCAGGGGTCAGACAGTGGTGGGGAAGTGGCCTGTCAAAGTCAGGTCTGTTGTAGAGAGCCCACCCCAGGCCACAGGGCTCTGGTCCACTTTTCCCCCTCCATGGAATGCCAGTGCCTGCCTGCCATGAGGCAAGGGCAGTGCCCAACATTTCTCATGTGCAGACCTAGTTTCAGGATCCAGTGAGGACCCCTCTGGCCTCAGCAGGGGAAGTGGGGTTAGTCTGGGGGGCAGTGCTGTCCTAGAGATTCCATTTCCAAGGTAGTACCCCCAGCCAAACCAGCACCATCCTTGGTCCTTGAGGGGCCCAAGAACCTCACAACCAGGCACCCTGACAGGACTTCCTTGACAGGGCACACAGATGCCACCCGAGTCCATAACTTTCAGCCTCTCAGGAGGGCACAGCTACCCCCTAGCCTGGCACCTCCCATGCAGGGCCCACCAGCTGTGTCTGCCTCCCCAGCCAGCTGTGCCAGTTCCCTGAAGCTGCAGATGCCCCTCCCCATCTGACTGAGCCAGCTGTAGCCACACACCCCACCCCCAAGTCCAGGCCAGCATGGCTAAGATACAAGACCAAGGGAGTGGCTAGGCCCTTCTGTTGCCACGGTGGTTCAGGCCCTCAAACCCTCCCCCAAAGCCAGGGTTGGGGGAGACCAGGTGCCAGGAACACCTGCCCAGGCTGCTCACCAAGCTCGGGACCTTCTATTCCAAAGGGGTACCATGCCTCACTGTCACGAAATCACCAACTCCCTAACCTGCCCAGGGCCTCCCTGGAGGTCCTAGGATGAAACCTAGGTGTGCATCTGCACCCCATACTCCTATGCCAATCCTACCTTCACCGGGCAGCAGTGGGTGGGCCGAGAATGAGCAAGAGGGCACAGGCTCATGACTTCCAGGCTCCTCCTTCTAGGGAGGGAGTGTCTATGCCAGCCTCCTCTGCACCCATGCCACCCGTCCATCCCAGAGAAAGAGGCCCAGAGAGGGCGGGGGATTGGCCCAAGGTCACACAGGAGTTTGGACCAGTGCTGCAGGCGTTCCCCCACCCCCACCCCCACTCCGCTTGGCCCAAGAGCCCCAAATCACCAGGCAGGGCGGCTCCAGCGCCCACGTGGCCCAAGGCCCAGGCGGGAATCCGACCTCCCCCCTTCCCCCATCACCCAGTCCGAGGGCGGCGCCGTCCGGGCTCAGGGAGGCAGCCCCCTCAGCCAGTGCCCCCCTCGGCCAGAGCCTAGCAGGACCTCAGTCTCTCGAGCCGGGCCCCCACCCCAGGAATTTAACCCCTTCCCAGCCGAGGACCACGCCAGAGCGCC